TGATGTCTTCATAGCACAACAGAACTTAATGTTGGTTGTGACCCTGCAATGGTCCCTTGAGCAGCATGTTAGACAGACAGCAGTAAAGGAATTTCTTTCCCACCTACATGTGAGAGTTTTGTCTTGACAAGTAGCCCTCTGGAAAGGCACCCTGTAGCATAAATTATTAGGTCTTGTTAATAAGAATAAACCTGGAGCTAGATATTGAGGTGAATGCTGGAAGATCAGAGAAACAGAACAAGCCATAGCCACCTCACCTTGCCAATTCCTCAGCTGATCCTGTTTCCTCAGACTGGAAGCCTCTGTGTCCTCATCCGAATCTGTCTCACCTGAACTGCTGCTCAAAAGCCTAAAAGCTTAACCTGCTCCAGTTCCTGGCCCTCATGCCTTAAATACCTTTCTGCTTTCTGCCATCGCTTCCTGGGATTAAAGGCATGTTCCACCATGCCTGGCTGTTTCCAGTGTGGACTTAAACTCACAGAGATCCTGATGGATTTCTCCCTCTCTAATGCTAGGATTAATGGCGTGAGTACCACCATTTTCTAGCCTTAGTATCTAGTGGCAGTTCTGTTCTCTGACCCCAGATAAGTTTATTAGGATTAACAATATTTTGGGGAACACAATACCACCATAGTATCCCAATACTTGCACCTGATAAATGAAATTCAGTTGGAAGACCACACATCAGTCACTGCCTCATTCCAAAATGGAAGTTAGGCTTAAAGCTTCAGAAGGAGGTCTGATAATTACTGGCAGTAAAAATCAACTACACAATTTAGGTTAAAAAGAAACCTCAAAGAAAAGTAAGCAGTTCCTTTCTTAACTAACAGCCAGAAGTGTCACTGGGATTCTGAGGATTTCATCCTTTACAGAGACCAAAGATGCCAAAAGTGCTTTGGGGAGCTCTGATCTCTAATGCTAAATGATTCTACATGCCTTAGGAAGGAGAAAAGTTAAAAGTAGTAATGAAGGTCTGTTAAAAGGGCCCTAGGTCAGGAGAACTGGATCTTTGTTGTGGGTACAGAACTAACATTTCAGTGCGGATATGTCAATTTCCTGGCCAAGGAACCTAGTCTGTGGAGCCCAAGAAATGATCACTCAGGACATTTATTAATCACCTATAATTGATTAACTGATTGTACAATTGCAACCCAAACTGCAGAGAAAACTGGAAAATTTTACAGCTCCTTTCCTTTCTGTACTGTGAACATCACTGGTTGTAATATATGGACAATGAATTCCCATTCTCATACAAGCACCTCTGCAATGCCACTGTACATTAAAAACCCTGGGCTGAACTAAAATATTCATTGTCCTGTTTCTTTTGCCTTCTCACTGAGCTGGCAAAATCCATTCTGGAATGCCTAACACTTGGTTACAGTGTCAGGAAATAGTTGGTGGAAACAATATAAAGATAATCCCCCAAATTATGTTAAGAAATTGTAACAGGATTTATGGCCCTGTGCTGCAGAGACTAGAGATTTGTATTAGAGTACAACAAGGAAAGCTCACACCTTTTCTCTCAGGCTAAACATCTTATACCTAGAAAATCACAGTCTTATTAGTCAGGAACACACCATTTTATCCAGATCTCCTATTTTGGTTCAACTAGAGTAACTACAGTAATTTGGTTTCATGAAAGTTCAGTTCTTGAACTAGATTCTTAATTGCTTGATCCGTGATCAGACAGTACAATTATTGACTATCTAACACTGATAACTTCAGTACTCATTGCTAATGTCATCTACTCTCATAGCAAAAAAGCTTTAACCTATTTTCTTGCTCACCCATTTCTTTGCTGTGTCTAAACCTGATTAACATTAGGATGTCAACTCAATTATTGCACAAGTCCCTCTTTACTTGTAAGTTTCCAGAAATGCCAGAGTTTGGAAGACATTCATTCATTGGTTTATTTTTCTTACTCACTGACTGGTTAAGACACAGACTAGAAGGAATGGTGGGACTATCTTCACAGTCCTCAACAGCACAGGGATGATTAAATGATCAAAGCAATTCTCAATTATAGTGTGTGAATATAACCTGAGGTAAAGGAAAAAGTGATCTAAATAAGAAAAAAATGAACAATAACTGATAAAATTGCAAAGAAAACCTTAACGTCAAGGAAATACATATAATAAAATGTTTCTTTGCATACACACATGAGGTATTTAATTTTATTTCATATTCTCTATTAAGTATTTTAACATTAAAATTGTTAAAAAGTTTTGACAATACAGAAAATTTTGGGAGTGCATCATCTATACTTAGACTTGTACTTAGGAGACTGAAGCATTAGGATTATGAGTTCAAGCATATCCTTGACTAATTACTGACACACAAGCCAGACTGGATAACAATGAGTATTTCAAAGGAATTTATGAAAAATGAAACCAGGAACAAAAACCCACTATCCTTTCACAGACATCCTTACTTGAAAATTATGCTCACATTCTGCCTGATATTTAATACAAATAGACCATTTACATGATAACCATTATTCTATACATTGCAGCAGAAAAATACCACTCACTAAGTGAATGCACAATAGAACATGAACAAAAGTCACAGAAGGAATAGATGAACCACAAAATAAGCTTCACTAAATGGATTTGCAAAACATATAGCCACTTTATACATCAAATGTTGCAAAAGAGAAGCCATAATGTGACCTTCACATCAGTCTTTAGTGAACATTTTTAGTAATTTACTTACTTCAAAGAAATTAAAAAGGGATGTTAGAATTTTTTTTCTTGACTATGAAGAAAACTGTGATGTCTAAAGTTTTACCAAATGTTTATATGAAAAGGATTTTTCTCTTCTATGACCTTTCCCCTATTTCCTAATATAAATATGACATGAAAAAAGCTCTAAAGTATTTACAGGGCTAGAGACACGGCAATATCTTAATACAAGCTCATTCCCAGGAACAAAGTATGGATTGTGAGAACTTGCAGTAATCCAAACAACAAGAAGTTCCAAAGGTCTAATCTTCTTGGGAACAAGAATAAACATGCACAAGTACAGAGAGATATCACATAATTAAAATTAAAACAACTCTTAAACTAATTTTTACTCATGTTTTTCTCCTGTAATTCTAGTCACAAAGGTATTGAGGAATCTAAATGCTTACAGAATTTCTCTGCATTATGTATTGGTTTGTGTAACAGAAAGCAAGCATGTAGGATTGACATCAGAGAAATCAATCATGTTTAGTTTGTGGTATTATTTGGGATTATTTAGAAAATGCTGCCCTAGGGGAAGAAATATGTCATGGTGGGTTGGTCTAAGAGTTTACCATTTCCCTTTTACACTTTATGCTTTATGTTGCAGATTAAGGATGGGAATTTTCAGTTTCCTACTGTAGCTGCCATGTATGACACTTGTTTCCATGTCACTTTCATTCTGACCCTATATCAGTCTGGAACCAATGGCCAATTAACCACTTTCATATGTTCACATTGACATGATATATCAGAGCAACAGAAATGAATTTATACACATTCATGAACTTTTACACGTGGATTCATTATCTCACGTAATTGAAGTATGAAATCTAAATTAGTTACCATATCCTTTAAATCCATAATCCTTTCTTCCATGTGAATTTGCAGGTATAAACCAAATACAGAGGGACATCATAATGTTTGAAGAGATTTTTGACACCTGTGAGATATTTCCCTCAAGAAAAATCTTATGTACTGAATGTAAGTGTGTTGGCTAAAGATCTTACCAAATCTTTATAATCACATTTCCTTTGGTATGAGTTTCTTTAGATCTTCAAAATCTAATGTTGTATTCACAGGATTTAAGACAGCAATATACACTAATAGTATTACTCTTGTAGGGTTCTTCTCCATTATGTGCTCTTTTATGTATTCTAAGATTACTGTGACGTTCAAATTCTTTATCACACTGATTACATTTGTAAGATGCCATTGCAGTATGCGTTCTTGTATGCCTTTGAAGATGATTGTGATGTGCAAAGGCTTTACAACACTGGTTACTTTCATATGGTTTCTCTCCTGTATGTGTTCTTTCATGCATTTGAAGAACATTGTTTTGAGCAAAGGCTTTATCACCATGTTTACATTAATAGGTTTTCTCTCCAGTTTGTGTTCTTTTATGCACTTTAAGATCACTGTTACAAGGAAAGGCTTTACTGCATTGGTTACATTAATAAGGTTTCTCTCCTACATGTCTCTTTTTATATATTTGAAGACAACTGTGATGTGAGAAGGCTTTACTACACTGATTACATTCATAGGATTTCATTCCAGTATGTGTTCTTGTATGCCTTTGAAGATGACTGTAATGTACAAAGGCTTCATTACACAGATTACATTCAAAGGGTTTCTTTCCAGCATGCATTGTTCCAAGTGCTTTAAAATGACTATGATCTGCAAAGACTTTACCACATTGATTATATTCATAAGGTTCCTCCCCAGTATGTGTTTTTGCATGCCTTTGAGGATGACTTTGATGTTCATAGGCTTTACTACATTGATTACATTCATATGGTTTCTCTCCAGTATGTGTTCTTTTATGGCTTTGAAGATAATTGCGTTGTACAAAGGCTTTAACACATTGGTTTCATTTATAGGGTTTCTCTCCTGTATGTTTCCATTTATGTATTTGAAGATAATTGTGATATGCAAAGGTTTTATTACACAGATTACATTCATAGGGTTTCTTTCCAGTATGTGTTATTTCATGTGTTTTAAAATGATTGTGATCTGTAAAGGCTTTACCACACAGATTACATTCATAGGATTTCTCTTCAGTATGTGTTCTTTCATGCCTTTGAAGGTGACTGTGATCTGCAAAGGCTTTACCACAGTGATTGCATTCATAGGGTTTCTCTCCAGTATGTGTTCTTTCATGCTTTTGAAGGTGATTATGATCTGCAAAGGCTTTACCACAGTGATTGCATTCATAAGGTTTCTCTCCAGTATGTGTTCTTTCATGCCTTTGAAGATGACTATGATAGACAAAGTCTTTACCACAGTGATTGCATTCATAGGGTTTCTTTCCAGTATGTGTTCTTTCATGCCTTTGAAGATGACTATAATCTGCAAAGGCTTTACCACAGTGATTGCATTCATAAGGTTTCTCTCCAGTATGTGTTCTTTCATGCCTTTGAAGATGACTATGATAGGCAAAGGCTTTACCACAGTGATTGCATTCATATGGTTTCTCTGCAGTATGTGTTCTTTTATGCCTTTGAAGGTGACTATGATCTGCAAAGGCTTTACCACAGTGATTGCATTCATAGGGTTTCTTTCCAGTATGTGTTCTTTCATGCCTTTGAAGATGACTATGATCTGCAAAGGCTTTACCACAGTGATTGCATTCATAGGGTTTCTCTCCAGTATGTGTTCTTTCATGCTTTTGAAGGTGATTATGATCTGCAAAGGCTTTACCACAGTGATTGCATTCATAAGGTTTCTCTCCAGTATGTGTTCTTTCATGCCTTTGAAGATGACTATGATAGGCAAAGGCTTTACCACAGTGATTGCATTCATAGGGTTTCTCTCCAGTATGTGTTCTTTCATGCCTTTGAAGATGACTATGATAGGCAAAGGCTTTACCACAGTGATTGCATTCATAGGGTTTCTCTCCAGTATTTGTTCTTGTATGCCTTTGAAGATGTCTGTCATGTGCAAAGGATTTATCACACTGTTTACATTCATAGGGTTTCTCTCCAGTGTGTGTTCTTTCATGCCTTTGAACAACACTGTTTTGAGCAAAGGCTTTACCACACTGATTACATTCGTACAGTTTCTCTCCAGTATCTGTACTTTCAAGCATTTGACATGTACTGTGTTGTGCAAAGGCTTTCCCACACTGATCATGTTCATAGAGTTTCTCTCTAGTATGTTCTATTTTTTGCAAATGAAGAGAAATATGATGAGGAAAGGCTTTACCATATTGATTACATCCATATGTTTTCTCTCTAGTTTGACTTCTTTCAGGTCTGCAAAGATAATTTGAAAATGTAACAGCTGTACCATATTCATTAATCTTTTACATCTTTATTTCTGTGTGAATTAATTTTACATTTCGGTGTAAATGTAAAGAGAAATTGGATCATAAGTTTTTATCACTTTGCTTATACTTATGTTGTTCCCCTTCATTAAGGATTATTTTGCTCTGTTGAAGATACCTACGATGTTTAGAGCCTTCATTACATGGATCACATGTATGGAATGATTTTCTCAATGAGATTTTTCATATTTATGAAAAGAATTGGAAGTATTTAGACCTTTACCCCACTTAATTTCACTAATACCTTTTCCTATACCATGAATCCTACTACATTTGCTCAATGAACCAGGACAGACAGAAGTTTTACACATTCTCACTACTCAAAGGACTTTTCTTCAGTTTGTTTGTAGATGTATTCCCAGTTAAGCTGGAAAACCAATTATGTGTAAACTTGAATCACATTAAGCAAGCCTACTCAATATGAGACTAGTACATAACTTATAATTGTTTTGAGATGTAGAGGGATGCATTGCATTTTTCCATATTGCTATGTTCATATGGCTTGTACCCAGAGTGACATATGCTATACCTAGTAAATGAAGAATAACAAATAAAAAGTTTCTACATTGTCTCCACACAAGTTGACTTTTTGTTCCTCATATACATGTGATATAGGTTTTAAGACTTCTTCACAACAATCCCCCCTTAAGTCTTGACTCTTAAGACTGCTCTCACTAAGCTTAGCAGTGTCAGAAAAACTAGAGAGTAACACTAGCTTTAATATGGAGTATTTGTTTATTAGAAGGTTTTGGACATACACTTACCACATATTTAATATGTATACCTTTGGTAGTAAGAGTCATATGAAACTAAATGAGTGGGCAATTCCACAGCATAGCTCTGATAGAACTATGATTCAAATGCTCATATCTGTTAAGGTATTGATTCCTTGTCTTCCTTCTAAAATGAATAACCTGCCAATACAATTCATTTACCTGCCTTTGATGTATATGGATTGTGAGCATTCAAAGATCATGAATGTAATTTAGCTATGATTAATTACACTGTTGCATTTCTTTAAAACTTTCAAATACATTAAAATATATCCAGAGGCACCTTTGTATCAGCTTGTACATAAAAATTACCTTTCATGTCTTTGAGAGCTTTGACAATGTTCTTCAACTTCAAGATTTTCCCAATTGTATCCTAAAATATAGAATGAGGGAAAGTATAAAATATTACAGGAATTGTGCAAAATTTGATTTACTATCTTCAGTGATCCTTAGAATCTTTCCTGATTTAGTTACCTCATTCTGCCTCATTCTCAATCAGAATTACAGAAGAGTATCAATAACCAAAAAACAATTTTTGCCTTAAATTAAAATATGAATGAAAATTTACCTATAGCAGTGAGGTTCATATATGTCTCCAGCATCATATCTTTGTAGATATTCTTCTGTGAAAGATCCAGCAAAGCCCACTCCTCATGAGTGAAGTTGATGTGCACATCATTATAGGTCACGGCATCCTAAAATATGCTGTATATAAGTATGTCATACATATGTATAAAACAAAAAGCATGGCCAGTCAGTGGTGGTGCACACCTTTAATCGGGAGGCAAAGCCAGGGAGATTTCTGTGAGTTCAAGGCCATCCTGGGCTATCAAGTGCAAAGCTACACAGAGAAACCCTGTCTTAAAAAAGCATGATGCCAACAACATTATAAATGCATGCTTCTTGACAATATAGTCATATAATTCTGGTGCTTCCCACTCTTATTCTTTAACTCAGACATTACAATATAATCATCAATTTATTTTAGAATAAAAGAGAATTGCCAATTAACAGACATAGAGACAAGCAAACACATCAAGAGCAGTGAGTACACATCAACGAAATTGTATGAATAATTACTAACTACAGAAATGATGAGTAAGCTTGGTGTATTGGCTCATGCCTTTAATCCCAGAAACCAGAGAGCAGAGGCAGGTATATGTGCTTCTGAGTTGAAAGCTAGCCTAGTCTATGCAATCAGTTCCAGGACAGTAAAAAGTAAATATTAAGAACCTGTCTGCACTGCAAACATCAATCATATGTACAAATACATAGGATGAACTCAGAGACTGTTTCTTTACTGAAGTTGCTACAAAGAGTTAGGCATTTACTCCAGTTCTGTATTCATCTTCTAGAAATCTGAATTGTTCCAGCTTAAACCGTACTTTAAGAAGTCTTACTATAAGGAACTTTTTATTTAAACAGTTACAAATAGACAGATGATAACATGAGCAATATCACTGTTGATTATAAAAAATCAACACAGGGCAGGCCAGATGAGTCAGAAGTTAAGAGCTGTTACTAGTCTTGTATACAGATGGGTTCAATTGCCAGTACTTACATGGGGGATCCCACAACTGTTCATTATTCTTAGCTCAGAGATTTTAAGACCCTCTTTTGAGTACTGTGAGGGCCAGGCATATGTGCACTGCATATCTATGTATAGAGGCAAAAGAATCATAGTTATTGAAAAACAAAATAAACACAACAAACAGGAAGAATGTCACACACCTGTAATTTAATTACTCAAAATTTCCAGGCACTATGACTGTCATAAATACTGCCAACCTGGAAATGAGAATGATATCCTCTGCCAAATTTCAAAATTCAAGCAGGGGGTAAAATTAAAAAATGGGCATATGCTTGACATGTACAAAAATGCATAATCTAGGCCCATCACCCAAATATATATATATATATATATATATATATATATATATATATATATATCCACAAATGTTGGACATTTCATCTCAGCATGCAGGAGCAAGAGACAGGTGAATCTCTGAGTTCAAGGCCAGCTTGGTGTATAGAACTAAGCTTAGGAAAGTCAGAGCTACACAGAAAGTTTGTCATCAGAAACAAATATAAAAACATCAAAATTTAAAAAAAAAATCAGGCTAGCAAAATGGCTTAGCATTGAATACCAATTTGTTTAATTGTATCTTATCTGATTAAGTAATACCATCTATAATGTTGCTGAAGTCATGACAGCACAAGAAGGAAGCTGGCTGATACATTTCGAACATAACATAATAGAAACTTAGAAAAGAAATGAGTTAAGGCTATAGAGACATATATCATACCCCCAATAGAAATTTCATCCAGAGAGGTTACTCCTACTTGAGGTTCTACAAGAACCCCAAAGAAAGCTGTCAAGGACAGACACATGTTCAAACACCTCACCCTATCTGGGAGCTCTTTATTCAGTTGACTACATTCTGACCCAGGTCACTGTAGGTTCAGGATCACCCATAAAGAACATGCATTTAGTCACTTCAATGATGCTCATAGTCTGCAAGAGCCCATACACTGTTCAAATGTCCAAAATCACTTTTGACACACAAGAAAAATTCTTGACTGTGTCATCTTATACAACCTGAATATAATTTAAATATTTCCAACATACAAATGGGACAGAAAACCCTTTCCCATTTCAAATGAGAGGAACTTAGACATAGTAAGGAAAGACAAGGAGAAGACAGAAACCCAGCAGGGCAACCATTGAATCTGGTAGCTCTGTGTCAGAGACATGGCGCTTCATTTTCAAAGGGCTTAGATGGCTCTCTTCCCACAACTTCCCATACATCTCTCCCTTTGGTTACTTCCACTCAATATATGCAGCTCTCCTTGGAAGATGTCTCATTGCTTAAGTATCTCAACATGTTATGGTCTTAAATTGCAACCCAGGCTTCATCATCATAGTGTCATACAATGAACTTTAGACACTCTCCTCACTGGAGCTCTTACAATACCAAACACAGATGCCTACAACAGAGCTGACATGAAAATGCAGACTAAGAATGTATAATCTTAAATTTTGCATCATTCTGGTATCCAGAACCAGTTCAACATCAGTGATTCCCCCAAATTTGGCTTCTTAGTTGTGATATCCCCTGCCATGCTTGAACCAGAGTTGTGGCAGGCTTTGAATAAAGTTGCTTCCTGGGACTGGCAATCACTTTGCTTAATCCCTCTATTAACTGAGTGCATAAAAGGAGGGATTCTTACCCTTAAGGCACCTTGCTAGGCTTCCAAAGTAGAGTAAGGGCCTTCTTTTTAATGGGGATACTCTCCCTGAAAGTTGCTGACACTTTTCAGCATTTGACTACCTTCAACAAATTCATAGTGCTGTTTTTCTCTATAACCCATAGACTTTTCATTTATTTATGATCCATTTCTTGATTTTTTTTAATGTAGTACTGAATGAATCATAAGTAATAGCTATCCAAGAGAGTCAATAGTCCATCTAAGAAATCAGTCCCATTATTTTTTTTTTAATTCTGCCTTACTCAATTTCTTGAGGAATTGGGCAAAATAAGAAAAGTTAGGGGGCAAAATATCACATAAATTACCTCGATTTTAATTCTCCTGAAATCCTTTAACCTGTACCTCCACTGTTCGCAATACTTTTAACAGTACTTTATTCAATGTACTATAAGAATAACCAATTAAGCTCTGTGTGCAGCTTTCTATGTCCTTTGTCATCTAAATTTTGACATGCT